TCTACTGTGCCAAAGAAATTCACTGGCTCGCAGCACTTGAACATCATTATCATAGTCATTCCATAGATTGGTACTAACCTTCTTCCAATCTTTTCCGTATTTACGATATGCTTCATAGAACTGCTCAACCTCATCCTTGCTCCATTGAGGCCCTAACAGGTCAGCAAATTTCCTCTTCTGCAAATAATCAGAAGATGGTTAGAAGATGGCTACAAAACTACCCTGAACCAAACTTATTGTGTTCTGTTCCTTTCACAGTGAGAATTTTAAGACAACACTAATCAATGGTCGCATAGACTCCAGATTAGATTTCATACTAAGTATGATGTACTGATGAAAATTTAAAAGAAAAAAAATAGAAGAAAGGAAAATGGAGTTTACATTACATTAACAACCGTACAATCGGTAAATATGAATATGGTCGTGATTTAGACATTTAGCCTTTAACAGCAAGAAAACTATGATAATAGTTAGACCGACACTGTGCAACTTACTTCAAGATAGCCTGTAACAGGACTAAAATAGCAACTTAAGTTCTAAATTGAAACTATGAAACATCATACTTTCTCATATATAGACAAATGGAAAGTCGAAAGACCGAATAAATCTTGCGTAAGTCATCCTCCATCACGAACATACATACCTTCTGCTTGCTTTTGCTAGCATCTTCCACGTATTTACTTGAGAAGGCCTCATTAGCAGAAGATAACCGCTTATTAACACTTCTGGACTTTCTAGACGGGGCCATGAGCTTTACCAATCTGAACACACATATAAGCAATAGTGTTTGTTATGACGTGGTTGAAGTTCAAGAGCATCAAGTCCACTATAGACATGTTTTAGCACACTGATTTAATATCCATTGAAGTACCAGTCCGGCACTTACATTCACCGAAAATCCTCTTCATAGAAACCATACTTTTAGAGCGAGAATAGTTATTCGTGAAAGCACGAGTTTAAACGAGAAAAATAAAGCAGCTGATTTACGAAAGAAAAATCAATGCCGAATCATCCAGCATACAAAAACTCGAAATAGAAAAACACTGCCTAGAAGAAACAAAGCAATATTTCAAACAAAATCGCCTTTTTCCCCTGCTCGGCTACCCGTCAGTTGCATAGGATAACTCAAAAGAAAACCATTGCAACCGGAGTAGCGATGAAACACGAATTCGTCAAAAGTAACCCAATGCATGTTAGCTGAAAACTAACACACCGGAATGAAACGAAAAAATCAACACTTGAATTGCGACAACACTCCCGATTCCAGTAATTGAAGAAAACGAATAAGAGAATTTGAGAGAACTTAGATAAAACCGTATCAGCAAATGATCTCAATTCTCAACCGAGTTACAGATATGTAACATCAAGAAGAAAACGAAATACAAATCTTGCTCAATTCACTCAGAAACAAAATCCACATAAAAATTAAGGAGAAACAAAATGTTCGTCGTCAACAAACAGCCCTAGATAGATGCAAAAAATGAGATTATTACCGATTTTCAAATGGCTGCTCCCCGTCAAAGCACGTCTAGGTCCTGAACATCAAACAAACACTGCGAGCATGAACTCAAGTGGTGGAGTAACCAATCAATGAAGAAGAAGACGGCCACGAAATCCAGAGTGTCGACAAGAATGAAGCCAAAGAGAAGGAAGAAGATGCAGAACGATGGAATTTGAGGGGCATAACCGCGAAACTTCAAAACTATTGTACTGCACAAAAAAAAATTGGTACCAAATGTAATTATATATCTTTTTAATTTTTTAATTTTTTAATTTTTTTCGTTCAACTATTTAAATTTGGCTGACCAAGCTATAAATTAAAATTAAAAATAAATAATATTTAAATAGGTTGAATTTTATTATAAAATAATAATACTTAAATAAATTCAACTAGGTATATGGCAATTACATTTTAATTTTTTTTAAAAATCAATTAATCTTATATTTAGTCTTCATGATCGTATATATGCTTATATTTTAAAATGTAATTTACCCTTGGAACCCTAACCCGCCTCCTATTCTTTCCTGCAGGCATTCTCTCATAATCCCCTTCCCGCCGCTCGCTGTCACTCCTCCGCCTCCCATTTTTCCCCTACCCCGCCGCTCGCTGTCGCTCCTCCGCCTCCCATTTTCATTATTCGACACTCTTGCGAGGCATTCGCCCTTTCCCGCCGCTCGCAGTCACTCCTCCGCCTCCCGTTTTCATTATTCGTTACTCTTGCGAGGCATTCGTGTTTCTCCGATTCGTCTTCTCAAGAGGAAGCAGGTTTTCTTTCCCTCGCGTTTCCACAGTCATGTTGTTGCTTCGTCGGATCATTGTAGTCAGTCGGCCATCATCAGTCTTTGTTCACGGGTTTTCTGAAAGTCCGTTGAAATCTCTCAGATACTCATCGACTTCTTCTGAGATCGCATCATCTCCAAAATCTGCATCGCCGGATTCTAATTCTGTCGAGCCAGAGAACGATGAGAAGCCTGTAATCGTGCTCTTTGAGAATCATGGATTCTCAAAAACACAGATCTCTGAGCTTGTCAAGAAATTCCCTCAAGTTCTTTCAGCGAACCCCGAAAAGACGCTATTGCCAAAATTGTTGTTCTTTCAATCGAAAGGCCTTTCTTCCCCCGAGATTGCCAAATTAGTGTGTGGTTTTCCTTCGATTTTAATGCGAAGTTTAGACAGAAAAATCATTCCAGCTTTTGATTACATTCAAGAGCTACTTCAAACTGAGGAGAAGACTATCGCATCCATAAAACGGTTTTTAGGTATTCTCACTTGGGATCTCCAAATTTATGCTCGTCCAAATGTTGAAACTCTGATACAAATTGGAGTCCCTGATTCCAAAATTGCAACCATTCTTGAGTACCAACCACGAGTGTTCTTGGTAAACACCGTCCGATTCAAGGAGATTGTGGAGGAAGTTAAGGAAATGGGATTCAATCCTCTGCGACTGAATTTTGTTCTCGCTGTTTTTGCCATGCGAGCAATGAGCAAATCTACCTGGAGAAAAAAAGTTGAAGTTTACAAGAAATGGGGATGGCCTGAAGAAGAGATTCTCTCCGCTTTTCGAAGGCATCCATGGTGTATGATGGCTTCCGAGGATAAGATCAATGGCGTAATGGATTTCTTTGTGAACAAGATTGGATGTGAACCTTCATACATTGCAAAGCGACCTGCTCTGATTTCACTTAGTTTAAAGAAGAGGATTGTGCCAAGAGGCTCTGTTTATCAAGTTTTGCTGTCAAAGGGTTTGATTAAGAAAGATGTGAATCTTCCTTTTTTGTTTGAGTCTGCTGAAAACCGATTCTTAGACAAATTCATCGACCCTCATAAGGAGCTGATTCCTGGATTGTTGAAGTTGTATAAAGAGAAATTGGAGGATTCTAAGAGATAGCAGGTTCAATCTCCTTCTCTAAATGTTAATATTTACCTGTTTTGCTTGTTCATATGTCTATTGATATCTAAAATTGATGTATGTTCAAGATCTTGTGCTGAATTGGCTGCTATTTAGATTGTTAACTAAATGATGGGTTGAGCTGAATTGACCATAGCACGTTGTAACAATAATAAAGTGGAGTCAGGGGACGAGAGATACTGTATCGGTTGGAGAGTCAACAGACCAAAATAGCAACTTAAGTTCTAAATTGAAACTACGAAACATCATACTTTTTCAGATATAGACAAATGGAAAGTCGAAAGACCGAATAAATCTTGCGTAAGTCATCCTCAGAAGGCCTCATTAGCAGAAGATAACCCCTTATTAACACTTCTGGAAGATAACCCCTTATTAACACTTCTGGACTTTCTTAACGGGGCAATGAGCTTTACCAATCTGAACACACATATAAGCACTAGAGTCCGTTATGAATTGGTTGAAATTCAGGAGCATCAAGTCCACTATAGACATGTTCTATCACACTAATTTAATATCCATTGAATTACCAGGCCGGCGCTTACATTCACCGAAAATCCTCTTCATAGAAACCATACTTTTAGAGCAAGAATAGTTATTCGTGAAAGCACGAGTTTAAACGAGAAAAATTAAGCAGCTGATTTTTCTGTTTCCTTTACCGAATTATCCCGAATACAAAAACTCGAAATAGAAAAACATTGCCTAAAAGAAACAAATCAATATTTCAAACAAAATTGCCTTTTTTCCCAGCTCGGTGTCACAATCGCACTTTTGAAGGCAGCGGACTTGCAATTGTGCAGTACTCACTTTCCAATGATAAGTGAGCTAAGCTAATTTGTTCTTGCGTTGCCTACGGCCAAGCGACGTATGCTTGAGTCTCTGGCCTCGGTTTTAGGAGAAGATTTTAGAAACCAGGGACGAGAGAGATTTTTGAAAGAAACGTTGTATAAGCAAGCAAGAGAGAAATAACAACGGCTCGCAATATATAACCTTGGGTAGTTTTTGAAAGAAACGTTGTATAAGCAAGCAAGAGAGAAATAACAACGGCTCGCAATATATAACCTTGGGTAGGGAGAAGTTGACAACTAGTCGTATTCCTCTCTAGTACATCATGCTATAGTGCATTATGATATTTCTGAAAGGTCATACTTCCTAGAAATACACATCATGATATTTCTGAAACGTCATACTTCTTAGAAAATACGAAAGTAAAACACTAGAATATAAAAAGACAAAGGGTTGGGCTTGTCATGGGCATGCGGCCATGGGCAACACGCCTTGGACGAGCATGACCGTGACACTCGGCTACACGTCAATTGCATAAGATAACTCAAAAGAAAACCGGAGTATATGGCAATTACATTTTAATATATATTATATTGTAAAATAATATTTAAATGGGTTGAATTTTATTATAAAATAATAATATTTAAATAAATTCAACTTAGTATATGGCAATTACATTTTAATTTTTTTTAAATCAATTAATCCTATATTTAGTCTTCATGATCGTATGTATGCTTATAATTTACCCTGGCAACCCTAACCCGCCTCCTATTCTTTCCAGCCGCCATTCTCTCATAATCCCCTTCCCGCCGCTCTCTGTCGCTCCTCCGCCTCCCATTTTCATTATTCGATACTCTTGCGAGGCATTCGCCCTTTCCCGCCGCTCGCAGTCACTCCTCCGCCTCCCGTTTTCATTATTCGTTACTCTTGCGAGGCATTCGTGTTTCTCCGATTCGTCTTCTCAAGAGGAAGCAGGTTTTCTTTCCCTCGCGTTTTCACAGTCATGTTGTTGCTTCGTCGGATCATTGTAGTCAGTCGGCCATCATCAGTCTTTGTTCACGGGTTTTCTGAAAGTCCGTTGAAATCTCTCAGATACTCATCGACTTCTTCTGAGATCGCATCACCTCCAAAATCTGCATCGCCGGATTCTGATTCTGTCAAGCCAGAGAACGATGAGAAGCCTGTAATCGTGTTCTTTGAGAATCATGGATTCTCAAAAACACAGATCTCTGATCTTGTCAAGAAATTCCCTCAAGTTCTTTCCGCGAACCCCGAAAAGACGCTATTGCCAAAATTGTTGTTCTTTCAATCGAAAGGCCTTTCTTCCCCCGAGATTGCCAAATTAGTGTGTAGTTTTCCTTCGATTTTAGCGCGAAGTTTAGACAGAAAAATCATTCCAGCTTTTGATTACATTCAAGAGCTACTTCAAACTGAGGAGAAGACTGTCGCATCCATAAAACGGTTTTTAGGTATTCTCACTTGTGATCTCCAAATTCATGCTCGTCCCAATGTTGAAACTCTAATACAAATTGGAGTCCCTGATTCCAACATTGCAACCATTCTTCACTACCAACCACGAGTGTTCTTGATAAACACCGTCCGATTCAAGGAGATTGTGGAGGAAGTTAAGGAAATGGGATTCAACCCTCTGCGATTGAAGTTTGTTCTTGCTGTTTTTGCTATGCGAGCAATGAGCAAATCTACATGGAGAAAAAAAGTTGAAGTTTACAAGAAATGGGGATGGCCTGAAGAAGAGATTCTCTCCGCTTTTCGAAGGCATCCATGGTGTATGATGGCTTCCGAGGATAAGATCAATGGCGTAATGGATTTCTTTGTGAACAAGATTGGATGTGAACCTTCATACATTGCAAAGCGACCTGCTCTGATTTCACTTAGTTTAAAGAAGAGGATTGTGCCAAGAGGCTCTGTTTATCAAGCTTTGCTGTCAAAGGGTTTGATTAAGAAAGATGTGAATCTTCCTTTGCTGTTTGATTCTACTGAAAGCCGATTCTTAGCCAAATTCATCGACCCTCATAAGGAGCTGATTCCTGAATTGTTGAAGTTGTATAAAGAGAAATTGGAGGATGCTAAGAGATAGCAGGTTCATTTTCCTTCTCTAAATGTTAACATTTACCTGTTTTGCTTGTTCATATGTCTATTGATATCTTAAAATTGATGTATGTTCAAGAGCTTGTGCTGAATTGGCTGCTATTTAGATTGTTTACTAAATGATGGTTTGAGCTGAACTGACTATAGCACATTGTAACAATAATAATGTAATATCCATCGGATAAAAAGTAAAATAAATAATAATAATAAAATAAAAAAATAAAAAGAAAGACCGCCTGCAGCAAAAGACTGTGGAGTACCCATTTTCAAGGACTTTTCGAGGGCAGAAGAAGAGGGTTGGAGAGCCCTCGGAAATGGAGGAGGAGCTCACGAACTCTCGGAGACCAGAGAACTCGTTGTGAGTCCATGCACAAGCGCCATCCGATCGATTAGGGATAAGTTTGAGGACTTCCACCGCCGAGGCTTGGAGCTTGAGTTTAGTGGAGAAAAAGAGTCGAAATGGGCGGAAGGGAATGGAGAATCGAGATATCACTTTGGATCTATGAGATTTGAGGATTGTAGGCGTTGGAAATGAATCAGAGGGAGCGAAGACGGCGAGCATGCAATGGAATTATTTGAGGAGTTTGGTAAATTTTGGAACCCTCCAAAGACACAAATCCGAACAAAAACGTTCTGTGTTTTAAGTAAGTGGCACCTCAGAACCTTGGGTTTAGCTCATAGTATATATGAAATTATGGTATAAGAAGTATGTTTTAGAAGTTTGAGCATAGAATGAGTATGTTTGTTGAAACTCTACTGAAACGCTTATGCAACTACCTTAAGAACTGAGATTCATGACTAGCTTTCCATAATTAAATCATTAAGTTATGCCTCTGTTGCGCACGTTACAGTATGAGCAGTTATCCGAGGACAATTAGTATTTGCAGTTATCTGAGGACAATTAGTATTTGCAGTTATTCGAGGACAATTAGTATTTGCAGTTATTCGAGGACAATTAGTATTTGCAGTTATTCGAGGACAATTAGTATTTGCAGTTATTCGAGGACAATTAGTATGAGCAGTTATTCGAGGACAATTAGGGTTCGCCAACTAACCCCTAATCGTAAACCTGAGTCGATTGTCAGGTGTTCGCGTAACCATAGAACTGGTCATTTTATTGTTGATGGTACCTTGTGGGGACTTAAAGTTTGCCAGTTAACTTTCTATTAGTGAACCTGTCACTTCAGGAGTGACAGGGGTCCACATTGGTACATTAGAATTGTTGATGGTACCTTGTGGGGACTTAGTGACGGGTCCACATTGGTACATTAGAGTTGGTCAAGAGATATTGCTCATGCCTATGAGTTAGTGATTATCCGGGGGGGATGATTAGGGGTTCGCCAACTAACCTCTAATTGTGAACTTGACTCGATTGTCAGGGGTTCGCGTAACTATAGAACTGGTCATTTTATTAATGATGCTACTTTTTAGGGGCTTGCCAGTTAGTTTCTTTTAAGTGAACTTGTCACGAGTGACAGGGGTCTACAGTAGTACACTTGATAGTTGGTCGATTCCTAAAATGCATGAACCTAAAGTATCGAGATCGCGCCTCAAGGTCCTTGAGATTGGATGATGAAGAAGAGAGACTAGTAGAGACAATTAGCCTAGTGACCTAAAGAACTTGGGAGTATTCCGAGGGTTGGAGGTCTAGAGATAGAATGAGAAAATTTAGGGTGTGGTCTAGACAGAGCCCAAACGAGGAGAATAAGATACCAAACGATGAACAAGATCAATAAGACTTAACTAAGAAATACGACTACCAGCAAGCTGCTTACTGAATATATTTTATATACTCATTCCCGCTACTTCAACTTTCTTTTTAGGTGGAGTTTGATGTAGCAGTTGAGGCGGAGGCACACGTGGGCTGTTGGCTACAGAGAATTCCATCACATTTGAGTCTGTAGTCTTGTTTGTGCTTTGCCTTTAAATCCTGCACTTCATGTATTTAAGTGATCTCTTCCCGTCTTTCTATGAATATAAGATTTTCATTACTATTTTTAATTAGTTCTCAAATTGCATGCATGAGTTCAAATGTTTTAAATTTTACGCATTTTTATTTTTGTACGTCACGGAGTAACGATCTGTTGCTCGAGACTTTCGAAATTTTGGGTCGTTACAAATAAAGTGGAGTTAGAGGATTCAAATATGTCTAAACTAGTTTTTGCTCAATATTCGAGTTGATTGTTGACTTCTTTTCTTCCGCTAATTTTGAATTATAATTCTACGTAGTGTTTCTAGTTGATACGTCACCTACTCTATTTATGTGAGATATCATATCGGTCGAAGAGGAGAATGAGTGATATCGTATCGGTCGGTGAGGGGAATGAGGGATGTCGTATCGGTTGGAGAGGGAAACGAAGTATTTCTTATTGGGGTGTGAAAACTTTTCCCTAGTATACGTGTATTAAAATTGTAAGGTTGACGGCGATACACAACGGGTTAGAGCGGACAATATCTGCTAGTGGTGGGCTTGGACGGTTACAAATGGTATCAAAGCCAGACATCGGGCGGTGGAAACCTCTCCCTAGTCTATGTATATTATAATCGTGAAGTTGACAAAGATATGCAACGAGCTAAAGCGGAAAATATCTGCTAACAGTGGACTTGGGCAGTTACAAATGGTATCAAAGCCAAACATCATGCGGTGTGCGAACAAAGACATTAGGTCCTAAGGGGGTGGATTGTGAGATCCCACGATGGTTAGAGAGTGGAACAAAGTATTCATTATAAGGGTGTGGAGACCTCTCTCTAATAGACGCGTTTTAAAAAGATAAACATGTAAATCATTATATATGTGAATTTATATATATGTCATATACTTTATTAAGGTCTTGCTACTCTTCAAGTCTTGCTTCTCACATAAGGAACGAGTTGGGCCGGCCCATATTGTTGTCCGATTCTCACATAATGAACGAATTGGGCCGGCCCATATTGTTGTCCGATTCACACATAATGAACGAATTGGGCCGGCCCATATTGTTGTCCGATTCACATAATGAACGAATTGGGCCGGCCCATATTGTTGTCCGATCTCAAATCTCCTCCAATCCAAGCCCGTTTTATAATACATATTAAAACAAAAGGAGTGGGGCCCACTGCAGGCCTATGAGATGGCACGTTAAGTGCTGCATGAAATGCCAGGACAACATTTGTGGGGACCACTCGATTTCACTTTTTTTTTTTCCAAAGATATTTTTGTATTTTTGTATTTTTTTTTTAAATTTGAAATCAAGGTCTAATAATTATTTCTGTCATTTATTTTGTCCCTATTAAATGACTATAATGGTTAAATAAAATTTGTAAATAATAATAGAACTTTGATGTCTTTTATTTTAAGTGAGCTAATAAAAGAAAAATGTTTGGTATATTTTCAAATTATTAACAATATTATATTACTTTAATCTCACATTTTAACACTTAATATAATATATGTCACCTTTTTTCTTTTTTTTTTTAATGAAATAGTATTTTCTAGAATCAAATATGAATTTCTTAAAATTACCATTTTTTTTAGTAAATAAAGAAACGGTAATAATAACTAAATAAAAAAAATTACATTATTTTAAGTTGTATTGAAAATGTATTTTAACCCTATATCTTAAATTAATTATTTTTAACTATATTTTCATAATTAGATTTTTATTACTTTAACTAATTAATTTTTTTGTGATATTTGAGGAATCTATGGTTCCTTTTACCCTTAAGGTATAGTTATACAAAACTATTTATAACTCATTAATTATTAAGTTAATGGTAAAATAGGTTTATATTTTTTTAAAATGAAGGGTAAATTAGGCATTTAAGCTTTTATTTATAGTAGGAGAAAGATAATAAACTTTTTTTTTTTAAATCATATGGGTCCGGTTCCAAATCTATAACACATTTGACAAAAACCTCGAGCCTGAAAGCGAATCATAAATTTTGTTGAGGCAAGGGTCGTTAGGCTGTGATGAGAGATGTCGTAATTGAAATGGTTGGATGATGAAAGTCCCACATCGACTAATTTAGAGGATGATCGAAGGTTTATAATCAAGAAATACTCTTTTTATTGGTATGAGGCATTTTGAAAAGCTTTAAGCAAAAGCATGAGAGTTTATGCTCAAAGTGGACAATACGGTATTCATCTAACCGAAACATGAACATTCGAACATCTTTTCAAGTTCCAACAAATTTATATTAAATTAAATTTAGCCCATAAAAAAGGGAATTTACAAAACAAGACAGAGCTCACGAAGAGTAGTATAGGTCGGCCCGTAAATTATAACAACTTAAAAAACGAGCAAATAGGTCACCGACACTCGGGAACTTGGGCCAGTTACGCGAACCAATTACAGATGAGCCATTAATTACGAAATTGCCACTCCACTTGTGGCCATCAATCTTCCAAGTCAAAATCCACTTTTCCACCACCGGCTGACCATCTGGTCCGGTTTCCGGGTACTTCGCCGACACGTGGTGCAATTCCCGGGTCGACCCGACCACCGGCGCTCGACATTTAAGACTTCTCACCAACTCCCTTAACGACGTCGTTTATCTCAACCTATCTTAGCCGTCCATTTACTGGCACCAAACAACCAAATCAACGATTCAAATTCTTCCAAGATTACAGGATTTGTTTTTTCATTTATTTTAAAATCCCCTTTTGACTCTAAATTCTATATGTTTGATTCTTCTCTCTCCTTTTCCCACCGTATTTTGTAGAGAGAGAATTAGATCTTTTCCAAAATAAATATTTTTTTTTCGAATTTTATATTTTCAATTAAAAAAAAAAAGTGTGTTATTTTTGTGAATTAATATTTAAAATTTATTGAAATTTTTTAAAAAATATGTGAGAAATAATTCCTACATATTTATTTATTTTATAAATAAAAAATATATATAGAGCTTGTTTTGAACGGTTCTCAAAATAATATAATTATAAGAAAATTAAATCATAAATAAATAAATAAATAAATTACATTTCCCAGATCGTTTAATTACCACGTGCAATATAATCACGAATGAGAACGTGACACTATATGATTACGTGTCAAACTTTGGTTGGTGGACTTGTGGCCTTCGTTGCGGACCAACAAAGCCATCATCCGCATGCTCCGTTGATGAAATCTCTAATATCTTATTTTCAAGGTTCTAAATTTATTAATAAAAATTTAGGTTAAATTATAAATTTTAATCGACACGGTCCATAGGAAGTCACTTAATACATGATTGTTCAAAGTAAAACACGCTTAGTTTTAGTTTTATGATTGAAGCATCGAAAAGAAACGTGCATCTTGTCATAAGGGGTGCAGGGGAATGTAGAGTCAAATAGGCGTCGAATCCAAATTTTGAATCGTGGGTATGAGGCGTTACAAGTGGTATCAGAGCGATACTTCTCCTAATAAGACGTGGTTCGAAGAACCAATGTGAAAGCTTGTGGGCACGTGACATGTGAGTGAAAGTGATACACGAATGAATTGATATAATATTTGAATAAAAGCAATTCAGCTAAACACGTCAATTTCTATCATATATTTTAATTCTAGAAATTGGTCGGGACCGAGAACCAACATTAAATAAACTCAATAGACTAAACCTAACTCTCAAATTAAAAATTAATAATCCCATAAAGTTTTTATTAATATTTTTTAATTATTAAAAAAAAACAACCTTTTAAAGAAAATCCCTTTGTTACATGCCAACTGGACTTTAGACAAGACAACCTCGAAATCTTTTCAATCTTATTCTAAGGACGAGACAGGCAGCCTCCCGAGGTTTAGTTCATAAGCCCTTAGTTATCTCTCTCCTCAAGTACATCCTTACATGTGAAATGACCAATTTACCCCTTTCTCTCTCTTCCCTAAACTCACTCTTTATCATGAATTTGCAACATTCAATCTAATGATAAGAACCCGAGGTCACTCGTTGCATGTGTACGATGTGATTTCTATTAGGGTTATGCCATACATGATAACACGCGGGATCACTCCTTGTATATACCAAATTCTAATAGGGTCGTGCCTTAATGATATAAGTTTGCATGTGTGAGATCTCACATCAAATGAAAGAGGAACGAGTACTAGTGAGGACATTGGGCCCTGAAATAAGTGGATTATGAGATCTCACATTGATTGGAGATAGGAACAACATCGATTGGAGAGGGGACGAGTGTCAATGAGGACGTTAGGCCCTGAAGAGGGTTGGAGAGGGGAACAAAACATTCTTTATAAGAGTGTAGAAACCTCTCCCTAGCAGTCGTGTTTTAAAAACCTTGAGAAAAAACCCAAATAGGATAGCATCTGCTAGCGCTGAGCTTGGGCTATTACAGCATATGAGGTCACTTCGTGCACGTATGTGATGGGATTCTATTAGGGTCGTGCCATGCATGATGTGCGCACACATGCTAGTCGTTCCTTGTATGTAACAAATTTTGATAGGGTCATACTACAACGATACGAGCTTGCTTACAGGGTCATGTCACTCTTTGCATGTACATAACGTGATTCTACTAGGGTCGTGTCTTATGCAATATGAACCCATGGTCACTCCGTGCATGTATATAAGATAATCTACTAAAGCTGTGCTCTACACGATATGAACCACACGACGGATCATTCCCTGTATGTATGCGAGATGATCTACTAAGTGATGTCCTACATGATATGAATTACGATGCCGTTTTGTAGGAATTTAAATTAGCGTAATTAAAATATAGTTTTGTATAAACAAATAAGAATAAAATATGAAAAGAGATGAGACAAAAGGAATTAGATTCAAATTAGGACCATAAAGTTTTTGATTGTTACAACTCCAATATTTATTTGATTAAGCAATGCTAACTCGTCCGTACACATTATTAATATCTATAATGTTTTTATTTTAATATGATAATTATATTTTTAAATTACCAAAAATTAATATGAATCGATATTTGTAGGCAAAAAGTTCGTATCGGATTATTCCAAAATTTCGGGTTGGTTAGATTGATGACTCAAGTAGCTCGAGTTCACTATCCAATTCAACCTAACCCAACCCCTATTTATGCTTTAAGTTGGATTGAGTTGTCCGGGACTTATTTATCCATAATAAATGTTACATTAATAACTAAAATTTTATAAAATTCAAATATCGAGTATTTATAAGTCACAATTCATCATTAACATCGATTGCAAAAATTTTCTAAAAAATAGGGTAGGGTTAGATTGGACTATAACTCGTGCAAATTGTTCTTGCAAATTGAGTCGACAACCCAACCCAAGTTCGAAAAAAAAAATATAAAAAAAAAATCGAACCCAACCTTTAAGATTTGAGTTCCCTAATCTAATCCGTCTGTTGTTATTGGATCATATGAACACTCCTACCATTTGGTTCTTAATTTAAAAAAAAATAAAATATCATTTTAAATTTAATTTTCATTTAAGTCTCTAAATTTAAAAATAGCTACCTTTTTATTTTTTAATTTTGAATATAGATTATTCAATTTAATTTAAACTCGATAAAAAAAAATATTATTATTGCTCGATTCCATTAATTATATAATTCAAAGTAGATGACAACCACTCAAATTTAATTGAAACATTATTATTATCGTATTTTTTCTATAACTTTGTATTAATTTTTACTTATACATGTAAATTTGGAATTTAAATTAAATGTTTAATTATCAAAACTTAATGATTTAAATCATAATTAAATTATATTATTTTTCACTTAAAAAATAAAAATATTTAATCATAAATCTAATCCCTAAAATTTGAAATTTAAAATTAAAAATAAATAAATAAATATTTAAATATTTAAATTTGTATATTTTTATCTCTAAAAAAAAGATAAAATAGATATTTATTAGATAAAAAAAAAATATATATATATATATATATATATATATATTTATGTGTGTTTGGCGCGTATAAAGACCAACCAACTCTTACACACACAAAAAGAGAACCTCTCAAAGTTATGGAACAGAAAGGAAGAGAGAGATTGTAAGCACAAAAGCGCTTTCAAAAGTGCTTTCTAGAGAGAGAGAAGAGGAGAGAGAGAGAGAGCTTAGAACAGAGCCACTGTTGTGTAGGGGAAGCAGGAGAGAGAGAGAGAGAGAGAGCGGGGGGGGGGGGGGGGGGG